AGACAAAAATAATATTAACAAGAACCTTAGCATCGACATCCATAAAAACTGGCTTCAATTATTAAAATAAAATAGAATGTTTATACAGTCGCAGGCGAGGCTGTGTGCAACACTCGGAGAAGGGTAATGTTACAAATTACGAGGCATGCGGGGGAGTCCGTCAAGTCGGGAAAAAAGAGGGGAGGGGAAGGGAGCGGGAAGTACGGACACACAAGTCACAACTATCGACGTAACAGACTGAAGAGGGGCGAAAGCCCGAAACGCGTTTCTGTAAGAAGTAAATGTAGGTGATGGAATTATTTGCCAAGTGTCTATAAATGCACCAAGTCGTCACTTCTAGATTTTATTAACAATAACCAACTAATAATTCTGAATGGTAGGATGAGGGGTGATACTCATGCAGAAATTACTTTTGTTTCCCCAAGTGGGAAATCCATACTGGATTATATTATTTGTTCAGAAGAAATGATAAATTGTTGTAATTATTTAAACTTTCTGGACAACGACCTTGCAGATCACTTTCCAGTTCAGTTGGAGTTAATAAAATATCAAAAAATAAGTAATAAGACATATAATTGTGAACAGAGTTACTCTATTAATCTAGAATTAAGACCGTCATATAATAAACGAAAATTGTTAAATAAGTTTGATTATATGATTGAGGAGATGTTAACCTTGGAAAAAGAAAATGATCCAATAGAAAATTATCTGAATATTATAACTAAACTAGAGGAATATAGATCAAGAATTGTACACAACAAAATAGAAAAATATTTAAATGTGAATGGTATAATAGCATGTGTTATGACTACAAAATTAAAAAACAAAAGAGTTTACAAGTCTTTAGAAGAACAAACACCAGTAAAGCACTAATGAATTATCTAAAGTATAAAAAAATGTATAACAATTTAATTAAAGCTAAGAAAAAATTATTCTTTTCAAAAATCAGCAAGAAATTATCAGAAGCTAAAGATTTCAGAGTCTTCTGGAAAATAATTAATAATTTTCGTAAAAGAAAGTCAGGGTGGGATACACAGACTAGAGTAGAATATAGTGATTGGCTTAAATACTACAATAAATTCTCAGAGAATTATCAGAAAAATGTCTGTAAAAAATATATGGGAACCAAGACAAGACCAGAAATCCAGCAAGACAAGATAATTAAGATAGAAGAACTACAGGACTGTATCAAAAAACTTAAAGACAAATCAACACCAGGATCAGATACAATACCTAACTCACTCATCAAAATGTTACCAATAGAAATTATTTGATATTTAACTAGACAATTTAACCTATTTTATAGTAATAGTATAATACCAGCCAAATGGAACAAAATAATTTTTACTATGATATTTAAACAAAGGAATAAACAGGAACCAACCAATTACAGACCAATAGCCCTTCTGTCTTGTCTATGGAAAATATTTATTACAATATTAGCTAATAAATTTAATTACTGAACAGCGGTGAATAATTATAGAAATAATACGCACTTTGCATTTGTAGAAGGGGGTGGTACTCAAACAGCCCTCTTTGTCTTGCTGTCATTAATTCAAACTCAGTTGCTTAAAAAAAGACATAAAGTGTTTGCTCTGTTTTTGGATCTTGGAAAAGCATATGATATGATTAGCATTACTGACCTACAGAGTAAAATGAAGAGATGCGAGGCAAAAGAACGTTTGATAAATATGATAGGGATGCTGTTCGGAAAATATTAGACAATTATTAAACAGGATACCAATATCTGGACACCATTCATTACCTACAGAGGCCTACTACAAGGTGATCCATTATTCCCATATCTTTTCAATTTCTACCTATTTGATCTAAATGATTGTTGTAAAAGAGATGAAGATAAATTTCAAATTGAAAATCAGATTATACATACTATATCGTATGCCGATGACATTGGGTGTATTCAAAATCTCAGCGCGCTGCCAGCGCTTCGCTGCCAGAAGTGACGTACTGCTGGCGTTTCGGAGAGAACACGAATGCTGACTGCTGGAATATCCAGAAAGGTAAACAAGAAAAATGGCGGGTGATATGGACTTGTACGTTTCGCTAAATTTGTTATTGAACTTATTTAATGAGACCAACGTAATGAAAAATGAATATTTCGCAAAGAGAAAGAGGGATGAGAATTTTTTAATATCTGTAGGAGTTATAGAAGAAGAAGAAAAACCAAACAAGAAAAGAAAGAGGATTCGAATTGAAAATTATGTTTCAGACGTAGTATCTATGTACTCTGACAAAGAATTTAAAAGTCATTTTCGCCTATCGCGTACAACAGTAGAGGTAAGTAAGTACAATATATGTAGGGGAGAGTAGTACAATGAAACGTTATAAATTATAAGATGTGGGACAGTTTTAATTGAACATGTAAACAGTATTTTTTTGTTCAGAGAGGAACTTATAACGTATTTTTTTTCAGATATATTTAAGTGTATGGTTAGCATTAGAAAAGAAAAATCAATAAGAGTATGTTGCTTTTCTATCAGAAGAAATTGTTTTGCTAAAATAAATTTTTTTCTTTATTTTCTAATTTATATAATTTCAAAAAATACCTTTAGTTATTTTAATGAGTTTTGTTTTCAATCATTTTAATCAGTCAGTGATTAAAGTGATTGAAATAATATATATAAAATTAGATGTTTTATTAATGATGCAAAATAAACACTAAAGATAATTTTTTTTAAATAAAAAATAATAGAATCATGCAATTTAGGGTTAAAAGGGGGACATTACAAGCAAATTTTATGTTTCAATGAACCCCACTCTCTCCTACACTTCATAACTATACCTTATTACATTATTGCTTTCAAATAAAATAATGACAATACTTTTGCAGATACTTTTACAATGTCTTCCCAATCCAAAGGTGAAAACAAAGCCCCTAATTGAAAAAGAAAAAAATTTGCTTATATTCTTGTGGTTAGTTGGCAATCAGGAAACATACAGAGAAGTAGCTGACAGATTTGGGGTAACTGAAAGCCATGCACACGGTGTGTTTATGAAATATTGTGATCACATTTCAGCTTTGGCTACTAAATTTATTTGCTGGCCTATTGGTGAAGAAGCTGAAAGATCCATTCGAGCATTTGAAGCTCTACGACAAGTGCCTTTTCCTGGTGTAATAGGTGCCATAGATGGCACCTATGTCGAATTTTCGGCACTAAAGGAAGAAAAAAATGAACATATCACTAGAAAACAAACTGCTGCTGTTGTGCTTCAAGCAGTTTGCAGAAGCAATTTGCTTTTTATTGATATATTTGCAGGATGGCCTGGATCATCAAATGACGCAAGGGTGTTCCGAAATAGTCCTCTCTATTCCAAATTGGGAGATCCACAGTTTTTTCCAAACAATTGTCACATGATAGGAGATTGTGCATATCCTCTATCAAAATCACTCCTAACACCTTATCGTGATACTGGCTATTTAACAAGAAGAGAGAAAAACTATAACAAAGTTTTAAGCTCAAGTAGAGTTGTCATTGAGCAAGCTTTTGGCCATTTGTTTGGTAGATTCCGAAAACTAAGATATTTATATATCAGAAAGAGAACTTTAGTTCCAAAAGTCATCATTGCCTGTTGTGTACTGCATAATTTTTGTATTATGCATAATGATCAGAGTACAGATGTTGAAATTGTTAGTGAAGAGAATGGTGTAGAAGAACTGGAAGAACCGTGCAGCAGTTATTCAAATACTGATGGAGCAGCTAAGAGGAACTTGATAGCAACTCAGTTGTTCTGAGACTGGGTGATGTTATTGGGCTGTATGTACCGTACAATACACTTTACTGTATGAATTTAGTGTTTCAATGTAATAAAATATTGTTTGGAATGTATTATTTATTAAGTATTATAATTTTGTTGAGATGGATACTATACATAGTGTCTTGGTATGATACATCTACTTTAAACAGTTAAATTTTAGTGTCTTAAATTTAAAAAAAATGACAATGCTTTTTTTCTGTTTCTTTGCANAAAGAGAAAGAGGGATGAGAATTTTTTAATATCTGTAGGAGTTATAGAAGAAGAAGAAAAACCAAACAAGAAAAGAAAGAGGATTCGAATTGAAAATTATGTTTCAGACGTAGTATCTATGTACTCTGACAAAGAATTTAAAAGTCATTTTCGCCTATCGCGTACAACAGTAGAGGTAAGTAAGTACAGTACAATATATGTAGGGGAGAGTAGGACAATGCAAAACGGAGTACAATGAAACGTTATAAATTATAAGATGTGGGACAGTTTCAATTGAACATGTAAACAGTATTTTTTTTGTTCAGAGAGGAACTGAAATATATCTGAAAAAAAAACCAATAAGAGTATGTTGCTTTTCTATCAGAAGAAATTCTTTTGCTAAAATAAATTTTTTTCTTTATTTTCTAATTTATATAATTTCAAAAAATACCTTTAGTTATTTTAATGAGTTTCGTTTTCAATCAGTTTAATGAGTCGATAATTAAAATGATTGAAATAATATATATAAAATTAAATGTTTTATTAATGATGCGAAATAAACACTAAAGATAATTTTTTTAAATCAAAAACAATAGAATCATGCAATTTAAGGTTAAAAAAGGGACATTACAAGCAAATTTTATGTTTCAATGAACCCCACTCTCTCCTACACTTCATAACTATACCTTATTGTTATGTTATTGCTTTCAAATAAAATAATGACAATAATTTTGCAGATACTTTTACAATGTCTTCCCAATCCAAAGGTGAAAACAAAGCCCCTAATTGAAAAAGAAAAAAATTTGCTTATATTCTTGTGGTTAGTTGGCAATCAGGAAACATACAGAGANTTTATTTTAATAAATAAAAAATTAGCCAAGGGGCTACTTTAAAAAAAAAAGAAAAAAATTATTACACATTGTTTTTATTTTTAATTAATTCAGACATTAGCATTCTGAGTTGCTGCAATTCATGTAGTTTTTTTCTTCTATTTCCTTCACCTTCTTCCATCTCTGTTCATCCTTTGCATCTCTCTTCGCCATTTCTTCTAAAAACCATGCAGGGGGTTCCCGCTTTCTCTTACGATTCTCCCTGGTAAGAGGTGTTATTTTCGCTGTTAGTTGTAGCTGTATTTGTATCAGGGGATTTGGAGCCAGATGAGGTGCACAGAGACAGCGATGGAGGAGAGGCAATTGACGAACTCAAGTAATGAGGTGGAGGATTGTTATTTGACTTTCCACCATACACTTCATAAAATTTATTAAAATGTTCCCATCTTATTTTCCCCTCTCCTGATGTTTTTAACTTATCCAAATTTTGTCAGAATGTGCACATTAAATTTTGCCATTTATGGCTACACTCCTCCCCTGAAAACTTAAACCCTTTATTTCGTAAGACCTGCGAAATTTGATTCCAGAGTTTTGCCTTGGCAACTGGTTTCTGAAAGTCATCTTCTCTTTCTATCCTTGAATTGATTAAGAGTTGTGTAGCTACATCAGATTATTCAACTGAAAAAAGAAAGTACTTCAATATTTAATATATTACTTATTATTTTGTATTTGTTAAATAAATTTTGAAATTGAATAGTCTGAATGTATTAACTGGTTTCTGGAAGTCATTTTCTCTTTCTATCCTTGAATTGATTAAGAGTTGTGTAGCCACATCAGATCATTCAACTGAAAAAAGAAAGTACTTCAATATTTAATATATTACTTATTATTTTGTATTTGTTAAATAAATTTTGAAATTAAATAGTCTGAATGTATTAAATAACTATACCCTTTTGTTTCTTTTTCTGCTCATTTTTTTTTATTTCAGGCTGATCACCTTTTTCAGCCTCTTCAAAACTGAATTGGACTCCTTCTGTGAGTTCTAATAAATTTCCAAACAAATTAATACAAAAAATATAGCATTATATTATAAATATAGCATCCTTACATAAATATCTTACCAAATTCACCATCTTATTCTATGACTCGAAAGATTCGAACAATTTTCGGTGTACTGATATTTAAATTCGATGGGATATCAATTTCTGAACTATGCTTCAAATCATTCAAATATTTTTGCATGTAGTTTGCATCTAAGGAAAAAAAAAATGTCAAAAATATTACAGAATTAAGAGATTCGTTTAATACATAACGAAATGAAGCCTAAGATTAACGTTAACAACTAAAAAAAAAAACTGGGGAGATTATCCGATTTGTGTTTAAGAAACTAAATTGATTACTTTTCTAGGTAAGATATAGCCTAGTTTTCTAATAATTATTTATTTTAATTTACTTTCTTTTTTGGATAGTTCTTCCACTTAAAATTAACGGTTTGATGGTTTTATCCTGATAATTATGTGATACGTACGAAAAGAATTTTTAATTTTAATAAAAAGTTTAATACATTTTAGTTTATATCATTGGATTATTTTTTGTGGCTTCCGCCATCTATAATTTTAATATAATAACAACTAAAAAAAATATGTCTCACATATAAATATGTGGGTATATTAAAACTTTCTTTTTTGGATAGTTCTCCCACTTAAAATTAACGGTTTGATGGTTTTATCCTGATAATTATGTGATACGTACGAAAAGAATTTTTAATTTTAATAAAAAGTTTAATACATTTTAGTTTATATCATTGGATTATTTTTTGTGGCTTCCGCCATCTATAATTTTAATATAATAACAACTACAAAAAATATGTCTCACATATATAAATATGTTGGTATATTAAAATAATCTATTATGTACTTACCTGATCTTAATTTATTCAATGTGAATTCATCAATGAGTAAATTAAATTCGAAACCATTGACGTTAATCAAAGCCCTTACTAACTTCATGGTTGCTGCCATCTTGGTTGCTGACCTATTCAGCACTGAAAAAGGACGCTTGAGTTTGCTGCCAGCGCGCTGACAGCAACCGGAAGTTGGCTGAGATTTTGAACAGAGGCGCTGGCAGCGCGCTGAGATTTTGAATACACCCATTGTGTTGATAGCTCCTACAGCAGCTGCACTCTGTAGAAAAATCCAACAAATCTGTGAGTATTTAGAAAAGCTAAGAGTTAAAATAAATTCCAAAAAATCAACAATTGTGATATTTAGAAACGGAAGTAACGTATCCAAAAAGCACATGTCTTTTTTTATTAAAAAAGAAGTGAAGATAGTGAAGGAAATTAAATTTTTAGGAGTTACATTCACACCTAATCTCTCGTTCGAAAAACACTATAAAAATTCACTAAGTAAAACAAAAATTGCTATAAATAATTTAATTGGTCTATTCTGCAAGGCAAAAATAAAGAACTTATGTTTACATTTTCAACTTTTTAATTCGATTGTGATGAACTCAATGGGATATGCTGCCCCAGTTTGGAGCATGGAAAGATTTAATGACTTTGAAAATATACAGAATATATTTATACGTAAGATATTCCAGCTAGAATATAATATCCCGGGTAGTGCTTTAAGATTAGAAACAAATAGATTCAGAATAAATACTATACTAATAAAAAGATATTTAAAGTTTTTACTCAAAATTATTAAGGCTGAAGATATAACAACAAAATTGCTGTTCTTACTATATCACAAATCAAGGGAAACGGACTTAAGACGAAGTTGGATAATTCAGTTATCGAAGATAGTAAATAAATATGGATTTTCTATTAAACTGTTTATGGATCATACGTATGATATGGAGCAGTATAGTAAAGAAATAATACACAGAGTTATGGAATACTCTATTATCCAAGACGTTGAAGATATACAAAAATGAGAAAATACAAGCTGGTATACAACAATTCTAAATTATCCAATAAATAACAACTATATACTGACAAATATAGCTTTTAACATTAAAAAGTTTTTTATACAGATTAGGTTAAATAAAAATGGAATAATTATAAATGACAAATATATGGATTACACCCAATCTAAATGTCCAAATTGTAACAAAAATTTATCTAAAATTCATATTTTATGTGAAAATTGTAATGAAAAGGATAAACTACAAAGGCTCCAGATTGAGCCACTGGCTAAATGTACTAGTGAGCTGGAAATGTACAAGACATTAGATAGAGCTGATGTTAACACGATTTATATGATATATAACTACGTTAAACAACTAATTAAATAATAATTATGACAAATTATTAATATAATTATATAGATTAGTAAATAGTAAATACTAATATTGTTAAAAAATTATTATATGAGATGTTAATATGCGTTTCCTCCAAATAAAACACCCTTGTAACAGGCAAAAGCCTTTTACGCCAATAAAGATTACTTACTTACTTACTTAATTAATTTATATGTAGTGCAAATATTAAACTTATTAAATAATGTAGTGTTGTCTATTCCCAAAAAACTGAAGATGCTACTAAATTAAATGTTAATTATTCCTACCTATTTACAATATACAATACAATAGTAATATATTTTAAAGAAAAAAATCTTAAAATGTTTCTTGTTCTTTTTTATATTTAAAATAATTATATAAATAATAAATAATTTTGTAAATATAATTATTAATTATATTTATATATTATAATTACTTTAAATTTGTTTCTTTAAAAGTTTTATATTGTTAATTAAATAATATATAATTTCACTAACATGTATATTCTCTTTTTATTCTTAGCATTTACAAAGTTCAGAGATTGTCGCAAGTCATTCGGTATGTAATTTCCCACAAAAAACTTAACTTAGTTGTAGCAGAATTAAATTCTTATATTGTGTCATAATAATATATAGTATTTATATAAATTACTTACATTCATACTAACATTAATAGTTCATATTAATCATTTGATGTTTAAATTCATGAAATAATGATAATGAGTTATTGGATTAAATTACAATTTTCTCTTTAAATTTCTCATATTTGATGCAATATCTAATATACCTTACAAATGTTAAGTAACATTGAAGTTTAAAATACAGTAAAACCTGTGTATGGCAACCACTCACGGTTCCTTCAAAAAGTGGTCTTTTAGACAGATGGTTGTCCAATACAGGTGGTGTTGTAATACCATATTTCCGTACGTATTTTGCACACTTTTTAGCCATTTCTACTAAGCAAAACTCTAGGTGAGCAAAAATAAGCAAATTTTTTCAACAATAGGGCTATATTGGTATTGTATTTTATTCTTATCGGATAACTTGATTTATAGAAGTTGTCGTGATTTTATAAGACAGATTTAATACCAATATTTTAAAGATTAATACAATAGTCACATTTTCTCGATTATAATGCACACTTTCTTTTTTCCAACTTAATTAATTCAACTTTGTTCTTTTTGTTCGCTCCTCAGTTACGTGTATTACATCATTGATATACAAACGCATTGTATCTCTACATCACTTTGGTTTTGGTATTTGTTAGTTTAATCTTATTTTAACTTTAAAAATACTGTATTTTTTAATATTTAATATTTTCTTAAGTACAATAAGAAAAATTATTAATTAATAATAAAATGATTTTATTATATTTTCTCATAATACGATTTCATTACATTCTGCGATTATCATTGGACAATTGCAGAATTGAGAAAGAAAGGTTGCCTGTAAAACTGATTTTTGCATTAATGCGTTTATTGTTTTTTGAATATTTTGCGTGCAAAAAATTACTTGGATATTATTTTTTTAAAAATATCATGGAAATAAGGTAAATTGATACAGAAACTATTTATCGCACATGTACTGTATATAAGCTTCAAAACAAAAAGATAATAATAATAATAAATAAATAAATAAAATAAATTTTATCTAACGATGAGATCAGCCGATTAATTGTATCATGTACAATATTTTATACCCCTAAGGAAAATACTGTATAGGTCTACTGTAAAATAAATTTCGTTTTCCTACAGTTAAAACTTTGCTGTTAATTGCTGTTGTGATAAACCATTTTCACTTTCTCAAGATCTTCTAATGACATTTGCATTTCTTTGGTTTTTTGGACATTTTCCAACAAACTGAAATGAATTTCCTTTGTTGCTAGACTAATTTATTAACACCTGCACCTAATTTCAAAGGTGGGAGAAGTGCCCGGGGTGGATTTGAACAAGAGTTTGGACTAATTCATTATATTAGGAGGGAGAAACATTGTTGAACAATTGTTTAGACCAGATATATTTGCGGAAGTGGTTGCTTATTACAGTTGTTGTATGTTGCTTTGGACCAAAAATTGATGCCCACGGTTGCGTTACACACGTGGTCGTTTAATAAAGGTAACTTATACGAAGACTCTATGGATAAACTATTCTGTGCCCAAAATTTTTGCCTGTTTTGACAGGTGCCCGTCAAATGCAGGTAGTACTGTATATCACTTTAATATTGTTTTAAAGATTACTGTTTAAAATAAAATATTAAATTTATTGTCAAAGTAATTTTAAGTTTTTAAAAATAATAATTTGTAAATTTATTAGCAATCACATTAACTAACAGTATTAAAATTTATTATCTTTGCTGTTTGTTTATATTAAAAAAATCCTGTTTTGTTTTAATTGATTTATAAGAAATATAGTATATACATATATTATTTACAAAAATTTAAAGATCAGTTTTGACACTGCTTATTTTATTGAGTTGCTAATCTGAGTTTTAAAAGAATATGTTCTGCCTGAAAAGTCTAGTTATGAAGAAAACTGTTGCCTTGAAAATTTTTAAATGAAAGGATCTACTTTGAATATTAAAGCAATTGTAGTGAAATATCCTGCTCCAAAATTTATTTTTATCTAGAGTTACTAATAATCTTGATTTATTCTCATATTCAAAAATATGTTATTAGCAGTGAAAATGGATGAAATAATTCTGGATGGGAAAGATATCTTGACAGCATATGATTTTGAAAACTTATTTTTGTCTATATTAACTTGTTATGTAATAAACGTTCTTTGTGTTTATGCTTCTTGTTTCTGCTAAAACAGACATGACAAAATTTGCTTTAACTGATGGTTATCATACTAGTTCTCATTCTCGTCTTTTTTCACAAGAGTTATGAGATCTATTTATTAATAATTTAAGTGGTTACAGTTGTAGAAAATGTATAAAAAACTAGATAAAATTAAATTATTGAGCATTCAAACAGTAATAAATTTACAGAATATAAATGTGAGAAAATAACAAAAAAAAAAAAAAAACATCTGTGGGGTGGCACATTTATCACTGCATCATCCATAAGTGAACACAGTTTTTCTGAACTTGAACTATTCTGCTGGATGAATACCAAGATAGGGAGTTTCCACAATATATTACAACCCAGTTTCTGGAGTATTTTTATTTAAAAAAAAAAAAAATTGAAAACTCTAGACTAGAGATAATGAAAGAATGTAAAAATGGAAATACAACTTGTTTATTTAAAAAACCAGCTTTTAAGCTATTATCAATACATAAATAATGATCATTATGTAAGAATCCTGTCCAGTTTAAAATAGCAACTTTTTAAAATTTGTTCTATTTTTAAAATTTGTTCTTAAAATTTGTTCTATTTTTAAGAGCTATGAATATATGTTCTGTTTGAAATCAGTTAGTAAAAAAATTTGGTATAATAAGAGATCAGAGTACAGTAGTACCTCAGGATACAAATGCTTCAGCATACAAAATTTTCAGGATATGACATGAAATTCAAACATATTTTTGCTCCACAGTACAAACAAAAACTCATCATATGATGTTACATTAGTTTGCAGCACTACTGCCATGATCACGTGTTTCTTCTGTTCATTGGTCTCAGTCCGCATGTTTTACTTTGTTGTGGAAGGATCTTGCTCGATAAAGGAAATCTTGAGGTATTATCAGAAAGTGACTGATTTTATTGAAAAGAAATATCCCGAAAAGGTTCACACTGGCTATATTGCTGCTCAGTTTAATGACATTTGCCTAAGTCATTTTAGAAACATTTTAAAAAGTAGGCAAAGCCAAACCTCTTTGGATAGATATTTTACCAAGCGACCTCTATCCAGTGAAAGTGCTGGTGGAAGTGAAGGAAAGAAAGCAAAAAGCAGTGAATAAAAAATTTTTAAAAAATATATAAAACAGAAAAGATAAAAAAATTAGTGTTAAATTATTTTTAAGTTATTGTTACATTATGTTATGAAGTTAAGTTTTAGTATCATTTCCCTTCTCCCTCTCCTCCACCACCAGTTTACACCTCCACCATCCTCGAAGGTAAAGTGCAAATAAAACTACTTTTTTTAATCAATTATTCTATTATGGTTATTTATACATTTACAACTACAAAATGCCTTTTTCAGTGTTTTCCTTACTAAAGTTGTTTTTTTTTTTTCAATGTACTACTTAGCTTTAATTTGAGTGTGTTTTTTGTGTTGGAACGGATTATTTGGTTTTACATATAATCATGTAGGGAAAATGATTCACCTTACGACATTTTCATGATACGATCTCAGTTTAGGAATAGATTAATTTTGTATACTGCACATGGATTAAAAAAGATTTGAAAAACTTGTAAAAAGAAAAGATATTTGAAAAAAAAATTTAAAAAAAACAGAGAAAGAAAGAGAGCAAAAAATTAGTAAGCTGTGAGATGCTGGGGCAAAAGGGCTGTTCCCTAAATACCACTTAATAGGCAACACGTTGGCAAGACCTGCTCATGTTGTCTGTTGAATGACTAGGAGTTTATCGGAAACCCACAACTCATAAGATTGCGGCTTCTGGTCAGGAACTGGCACCAGTTAGGATAACCTAACTCGCAATTCTTAAATTAATGTATATTAATTAAAGAGGGTCTTCGAATATCGAGTGGGGAGTGTGGTAGGTAAGTCGATGAGGTGTCCAGTTTCCGAGCAATAAACAGGCAGACAAGTTTAATGAAACAAATAAAATTTTAATATATTCTAAATCTACAATGTACATAAGGATTCAAACAAAATGAATAACGTATGGTGATAAAATATGGATATTAGATCGTACAACCATGGCGTGACTATTCTGTCTTATGCCATGTGGGTGGGCCTAATTTCTCGAATGCAAAGGGAGAGTTTACACATTTCTAACAAAATACCTCTAATCCTTATGGAGGTTGATGTCTTCCTTTTTTGTATGGCGAGTCGTTGATGATAATGGCTTAGAAGAGATCTGTTCTATGAAGCATCTTAATATGTCCATCAGTATCCACCGGATATGGTCGGTGTATCTAACACTTCTATGTGAGGATGAACACTTTTCCTTAGGATGACCGTGCAGAATTGTTGTTGTCTCTTCCTTTTATACATTTAGCCTGGGAATGTCAATCGTGATCAGCAGTTGTTTAGAAATGAAGGTTGCTTTTACAGGTGCGAGTTCAGTGATGACTTTCGTTGATGTAATGGTGTCACTTTCATCTCCTTTCACAATTGGATGTTATCATTTTGCAACTGACTGTTAAGATTCTTATCCGTTTGTTGATAGTAAAACTGTCATTCAATCCGTGTTCTTTGCGATGTTTTCTAATGATCGCAATGGATGTTAAATAAAAAATTTCTTAAAAATGGATTTCAACATCCTTGAACTCCTGGATCTCACAAAGCTATTCATAGAATATAAGAAATTTGTTTCTCTTATTTTGAAAAAAATCTTGAAAAGAAAATAAAGAAATTATATGTAAAAGTAACAATTTCTTACTGTGAATATTAAAATAAAACAACAAAGAAACAAAGGGGTGCTCTCTTCAAGTAGTAAGATCTGTAATATTCCATCATTTATAAAGCAAGAAAAAATGGAAAACATTTAGTTATAATTTTAAAATTATTATAAAATATCATGTTACTATTGCAACAGCTTATGAATAATTTGAATTTATTGTAGAACTTTTGAAGATAATCATTTGTTTATCTAAAAGGATTTTAAGATAAATTCAATCTGTTTAGAAAGTAGAAAATGTTTACAAGAACATTTTGACTCAAAATTTATTTTTTTTTGATGAAAATAAAGTATAAATTGAAAAATTTATAAAAAATTATAAAAAATAATTTAAAT